CTCTCCACGCCCCGCGGCAGCGGGAGCCCTCCCCAGCGCGCTGAGCTCACAGTGCCACAGCCCCGCTGGCCCTTCTGACTGGGCCGCTGCTCCTTCCCCATATCCCTGGAGACACCGGGCGGGGCGTGGCACCTTTCACGCTCGGCGACCAGGATCTTCAGATGGCAGGGGACGCCAACTGCTCAGCCTTGGAGAACTCGCTTGATTTCCCATCCCTTATTTGTATCAGAGGGGTGAGGGCAGGCATTTCTTTCTCATCCTTGCTGGGGGAAGTGCTCACCTGGTTCTCAAAGCCAATTTGCCCTTCCTTTACTTCCTGCCGTCGGGGTTGGGATTCCGACGGAGAGCCAAGGTCTTTGGGGCGGGGAAGGGGAAATGACTCAGAGGAGGCGGCTCAGAGGGAGGGGCCGGGCTGGAAAGGGGGGGGCATTTGGGGAGTGGCAGGGAAAGGGAAGGGAAAGTGAGGCTAGAAAAACTAGGCTGGGGACAGTTTGGAGGGTGTCTAGGGAAGACCTGGAAACCCCTGCTGGTCTAGTCTGACTCCAGGATTCTGGAGGCTAGGTTATTTCCTTAGTACTGGGCTTTAAACTTGGTTACCAACTATGTCAAAGGCGAGCAGTTTGGAGGGTGTCTAGGGAAGACCTGGAAACCCCTGCTGGTCTAGTCTGACTCCAGGATTCTGGAGGCTAGGTTATTTCCTTAGTACTGGGCTTTAAACTTGGTTACCAACTATGTCAAAGGCAGCCATAGCTAAGACCCCAGCTAGCAGCTTGCTAGGCATCTAGGAATTTGCTGGTCTAGGGAAGGTTTAACTCTTGGTGTCCTAGGAAGCCAATACTTTTTATCCCACACTGTTGCTGGGAGGATTAAATGAGTCACTCCACCTAAAGTGTTTAGCATAGTGACAGACGCGCTATAAGCAATCAATCAATAACAGCACTTATAATTAGAAAAGTGTTCATTTATTGATTGTCTTCCATCTCCAATATGAGTCTCATGAGGGCAGGGACTGTGTTTTATTCATCACTGAGCTCTAGCACCAGATACAAAGAGACTATCAAGAACTTATTTGTTGAATTAGTGAATGAATGAATGATTAAATGAATAACTTGGACTAGTGACTGTACCAAGATCCTCTCTTTTCTGGCATATAAGAGGTGTATTTGTGGGAGTTTGGGAGGGTCATGACTGTGGAAGGTGGCACACAGGACCTCTACCGATTTAGGTATCAAGTGACCTGCTCCGTCCTTGGACAGTGGAATGAATGCCTTTGGCAGTTCCCTACATGGATTCATGGAAGGGACACATGGGAGACTGTTAGGCAGCTGATCTGAAATTCGAAACTGGGGTATGGCTAGCCAGAACAGTATTTTACTCTTGTATAGTTAGTGAATAAAACAGGATAAGGGGAGAGGGCTAAAGTGGAAAGCTCAAATAATAATGGTGGCAAATATGAGGGGGATTGGTAATGGAGGTCCAAGTAAAGTGTGTACAGAGAATAATAATCATCCCCAAAGGGAATTTGACTGCAGTCCTAAAGTAACAGTGATGCCAACCACCTTTCTGTTCCAGTCACAGGATTCTAATGATCTACCCTGATATCCCAATAGTCTTGGAGTAGGTATGCAGATTAGGCTTCCATCACCACAGTCATTGAATTTGCATTTATGGAAATTCATATTGTTAGGACTAGAAGGGACCTTAGAAATTAATTACCTATACACTTAAATTTGTAATAGCCAGAGGTAGTTTAGAACAGGGGTCTTGGGATTCTCTGGCCTTGGTACTGAATTTTTCAGGGCCTGAATTTGTTGTGCATCCCACCATCCCTTTAATCTCTGCTTCATCCCAGCCCTCAACGATAAAAAGACTGAGAAAAATGAAAGGACATTAATGGAAGGTCAGTAGAAGCAAAGGACCAAGGCAGTTCCTCAACAGCTTTGACTATTTTTGTTTGCTCCCCCACTTTCTGGAGAAATTACCTAGACTTTCAGCTAGCTTCTGTAAGAAAATGGCACTACTCTGGAGCCCTGGCAACCTTGCTGTATTCACATAAGTACTTCAAGTAAAGGTTTGAACTGTAGTTAATTAGAGTCTTAGAAGAACACCTATGATCATTCCAGAACACAAGAAGATGGGAGGCTTGAGAAGAGCTGCTCCAAAGTCATCTCCCACTCACCTCCTTATCTCCCTTAAGAGACTGTCATGGGACAGTTTTTGATCTCCTTCTACATCCTGGCTTTTAGATTCCTGACCTACTTCCCTCAGAAGAAAGCTACAGATTATAAAACCACTTTGCTGCAGTCTAGAATTGGCTTCTTAGCAGCGGGCTATCCCACAACTCATGTGGAGATCCTCTGACTCTTTTTATTTCAGTGTTGTCTTTTTTTTTTTTTTTTTAATATTTAGGAAAAAAATCACTACAATCTGAAAGCTTTGACTGTGCTTTCACTGTATAAACCGATCAAATCTAAACATGATTCATTTTATCTTTACTTGCTGAAACAGTCAGGCCTCGAACTTGGCCTTACCTTGTGTGCTTGATAGTTGTTTGCTGTGAATTTCACATTTCTGGTATTTCACAACACAGTCCCTTATTGCTGAGGGAGTGGAGCTGGGCAAAAAGATATACATCATAATAGTTTTTCCCTGCCACTTAACATTAAAGGGAAAATCAGACCACATTCCATTTTCTAGGTCTTTCAATCTGGCCAGAGAAGTAGCATATCCTCTTTACAATATGCGTACAAGGCCAACCCTACAGAGAGTAGAGTTGGCACCTATATGTCATTTTTTTCAAAGACTTCTCTTGGCCTAAAATAGATCTCCTACAAACCACCAGGGCATTGTCAGCTGACTCTTCTAAACCTGAAAGTCTGAAGTTTTACCTACCCCTCACCTTGTCACTGCCAGGTTAGACAACAAAAGCATTGTCTCTACAAGGCCCTTGTTAATATGTCTTGTTTCCTGAGTGGGAGGTAAGAGGTAGAGTAGGAGATAGGGTGTGAACTTTGCCTCTCTTCTCTATTCACATTTTTCAAATTTTATTTATTTTCTTCAGTGAAAGAGAGAGCGAACGAATGAGAGAGAAATCCCACCAGGGTCCTGATTAACCCGCAGCCTTCATCTAGCCCCAAATCATGAACACATTCATGACTGGTGTACTCAGGGAAATCTCCAGACTTCAACAGAGAACCTTCCCATGTGGGATTGTGTCATACAGCACTGTGTTTTACTACTTTGCCAGCATATAGCCCCTATTAGCCCATTGGTGTTGACTGATTTACTAATTATTTCAGTGGTTCCCATTGAAGGAGCCCGACCTTAAAGAACAATAGCAAGCAATAATGGGAGTGTTAAATCAGGAATACGTGTCTGAGGTATATTGTATAGTGTTGGTGAGTCTACCTAAGAAAAACTTCACAATGTACACTTGCCACTCTGCTGATTAGGCTGTAATGCTAGGTCCTGGTAAGAGCTTCCACTCTCACCCCGTGTCTCTAATAAATACTACCTTCTTCAACTACCAGTGGTAAATCAAGTTCATAGATCTGAAGCTATTTAGGAAGAATTACTGAATTAGGTACTCTATTATAACTATTAGGAGTATTTTTGCAGCTTAATAAACCCCCCTAAAAATGAGAATAATAGTAGGAACATAATAAGTGGTCAATAAATGTTTCTTGAATGACCAGGCCAGATCAATCACAACTGTAATTTGTATTCTATGCCCATCAGTTATAGGAAGACTACTTTGATCTTCAACTCCTGAAAACTCATGGTGGAAGAGAGCCATTCTCATTAGCTCATTACCTATCATACTATATAAAATATTGCTAATATCCATGTACCAACCTATTTGGTCTCTGTCACTTCTATTCTTCATAAATGAAATCACCTTGTCCCCAGCTACGGGATCAGCTTCATCGAGCCTCTGGAACCAACCTATCCATATGCAGAGGAGCATAAAGAATCCCATGTGTGTTCTCCTCTGGCATATTAGATAGAGCTGGCCTTTCCAAACATCGTATCACAAAAAAATAAAATCTTACTAATCTTAGCTTAGCAAATATGGAGGTAATAGCCCTATACTTGGCATTTGCATAAGATGTTCTCCAATTAAACCACCAAAATTCTGATATTCCAAATTCTTGTCTTCTTTATAATACTCTTACCTTTGGGCTGTGGTTTCTGTAGCCCTTAGTCTGACTACCTGCTGCAAGTCACTTCTCTAAGCTGCCTTCCTTAACTAAGCTGCTTCACTTCAAGTCACCAGATCCTTTGAGTCTGTGTCCAATCTGGGCCCCAGAAGACTTCCTAACCCTTCCGGCCTCCTCCTACAGGTTATATATTTAACAGTAAGTCAGCTCACTTGTTTCTGGTTCAACTCAGACCTTAACCAATGAGTTCCAACCCTGAGATTTTATTCATTCTTCCTTAAGTCTCACCTTCTGCTCCAATCCCTGAAACTGCATGTGTCATGCTTCCTTGGACCTTATACCTGCATTTCTTTAGTCTTCTTGACTGTATGTGGCTCCTAAAACCAGTCTTTGTGATACAATTTCAAATTCATGACTCTCTGGACTCTCTCTGCCCAGATCTCTACTTATTATATGACAATTGATTTCTACTAAATCACTTACCTAATTCCAGTAACATACAGCCATCTTCCTTTTAGTCTTCCCCCAGTTAAACCCCAGTGAGAGACAACAAAGAACTCATGAATACATATATATTTATTTAATTCATAATATAGCATTTATGATGGATCAGGATATTTTGGAGAGAGATGAGGCTGTGTAATCCGCAGATGTTTATATTTTGTCACTAGGAGGGACACTATTGGTCCAGAACTCCCAGTGCAAACAGGCCTGGAGTAGAGCATTTGATAAAAAATAGTCCAACAATAATCTAATAAATATTCTAGCCAATAACAACAGCACAGCATATGTCTGAAGCTGGCAGACCACATCATAAAAGGCAGTTTTGCCTGACTTGATGGCAACCAGTCTAGCCAACCTGTAACACATAGCCTAATACAGCCCAATGGCTCCAAGGCTGTAATCGGTTTCAGGATCTAGAAACAAGTGTGAGAGTGTTCTTATCTACCTGCCTCACATTCTTTATTCCTTGGAGGAAAGGATATCAAATATTTCAGCTTATTCAAAAGTCCATCCATGGATTGCTCCATCCAGGTATTCATTTATAAATATGTAAACCATGAAAGCTTAGAAAATTCATCTAGTATGTTTTAGCTGAAAAGAACATATAAGTGATTTTACTGCTATCTGAATTTCACTGCATCCAAAGATACACAATGGAATTACATAATAAAAACATATCCAGATGCAGTTACTCTTACAACTGAACCTCAATGTGGCATTAAAATTCTTTTCATATTCTTAAAGCAAGTCTAACTTTATTTTTAATTAGTTTTGTGCTTTCTTCAAGAAGGTAATATAAAAAGTGGAAATAAGCATAAATTGCAGACAGAAAATAAATTTTAGCAGAGAATGTTGTGCAGAATAGACTGAGTAAAGCAAAACAACATAAGCTTATGGAGTCACCTTCCTTGAAGATGTTAAATACAGATCCTATTTCCTTTGTTCAGCTGGGTTTAGCTAGAGGTAGCCAGTGACTTCTCTTAAGGTCCCTAGTATTGCCAGGGTTCTGTGAAAGTCTTAAGTTTACTAAAATAAATATCTGGAAGTACTTTGCCACCACATTGTATCTTGGAAATTGCTTTGCATTGTCTGGCCCAGAGGTTGGGACTTTAGCAACTTCATTGCTTACCCCCAATTCATTTTAATTTCCCACTTTATTCAGTAGGCTTACCCCTGAGTGATTTTTGGCTATAACCAAAACTAAAATCCATCTTCAAAGAACAAAGTTTGAAATTATTGGAAATGCCATCAAAAAGAATGGTGTCACGTCCTCCAAAGAAAATTCCTCAAGACAACTGCCAAAGAGTTTCTGAGGAAAACAATGTTCATGTATATGTATGAGCCTTGATACATCTGCAAAACGATACCAATACAGCCCAAATGGGGAAGTAACCAAGCTTTTCTGCCCAGGACATAACAAGCACCACTATGGATATCAGAATAAGTGGGAAACTTTGATTATTCATTTGTTCATTTATACATTCATTCAATAAACATTAGCCAGGCAACTACTCTGTTCCAGACACTGTGCCAGGTATTCAAAATACAACAACAACAACAACAATAAAAGACACAGTCCTTGCTCTCAAGGTATTCACAGTTTAGAAGGGAAGATGATTATTATACATTAAACTTTTGTGTGCATCAAAATCACATGAGAAGCTTGTCAAAAATATAAATTCTCACCTATGTCCCCAGATAGTCTAATTAAGTAGATCAGGAGCAGGGTTCAGAAATCAACTATTTTAACAAACCCCATAGTTTTCTAACATAGGTGGTCTAAGGAAAACACTTTGGAAAACACTATTATATGATGTGATTATTGCTGAGAGAGGGAGGGGCTCAGGGTGCCATTGGAGTTTCAAGATGGGCACATAACCCAGTCTATGGGGTCAGCAGTTAGTCTGGTTTGGAGGGTCCAAGATATGGAAAGGTAGTACAGGCTAGAGTCAAAAGCTTTGACCCAGGGTACTAAAATCTAAAGGACATAAAAATAAATGAATGGCTTCTAAAGAGCCAAAGACAAGGCAAAGGAAACTGAACGGGATTGGAGGTAGAGTGTTTTGTATTTTTATGTTTTCATACTATTCTTTTAAGTTAGGATTATAATCCTATTATCTATTCTGGGCAAAAATAGTTAATAACATCTCTGCTTCAGGCCCAAAGAACAACTTGTGAAATTAGTTCAACTTTGCTACAATAATCAGTGTGAGGGGGAACATGGCAAAAGATGAATCTGGGAAAGCAGAGACATGAAAAGTCAAACTCTAAGAAGTTGAGATAGTCTACTGAATGGTGAGGGAGCCGGTGAAAGATTTTATGAAGGAATAAAAAAATCCTCTCTTGTAAGGATTTGAGGATAGGTTCTAAGGTAGAGACCAGGTAACTGAGAAATGAAGGTCATATATTTTACATTGCATTGGGTCTGAGGGTAGATGAGTAGATTAATATTTATGGTATACTATACTTACTAAATGCCAGGCACTGTGCTAAGCAGTTTACAGATGTTATCTTTTTAAATCTTTGAAGCTTTGTGAATTAGATACTATTTTACAGAAGAATAAACAGAGGTTCAGAGAAATGTATTACTTGCCCTAGGGTGTATTGCTAGTAAATGGCAGAAAAACTGGGGTTGGTTTAATCCAAAGATTATGAGCTTTCCAATACAGCAAGTTGTTTACCAGCACTCTGAATCTTACTGAAGTTGCTCATTTCCCGATTAATGGTAAGTACATGCAGTCTTTCAAACAACAGCAACAAAAATGCTGACTTTGCCACTAGATATCTAAGTTTGAGCCTTCTTTCTGATCTGCATCAGTTTGGGTTTCTATGTTAGGTGAACAAAAAATACATAACTGGTATTTGGGAGGATTTATTGTATTCAGTCGTCGGAAAAGTCAGGACTCTTTTACATAGAAAAACATGAAAAATATGTCATGAGTTTTCTGATGACCCAATATATAGATCATCTCCTTTACAGGAGAGTAAAGCCATTTGACAGCAGGAACTGTGTTTCATTTATATGTGCACTCCTATGGCAGTAATTGTGGTACCTGGCATTTAATAGTTTATTGAACAAATTAATAAATGAGCATCCACTAAGCAGGTAGAAAGGAAGAGGGAAGAAGTTCTGACATTGTTTGCAGGCTTCCATCTGGGGGATTGTTACAGTCACCATTTTCTAATTGTATAACAGTAACATTTTCCCAACTCCCAAGGTGTAGACTCCTTGAAGCAGATTTAGCACCTGGGAAGGAGAAAGCTCTGGTCCTCTGACATCCCCAATCCTTACAATGGAACTGACAAAATCACGAACCATAAAGCTCCGTTCCCTTCAACTATATTAATGAGAATTGGGATGAAGTTTATGTCTGCACTCGCAATGAAGAGTTTAGATTAACAATGAATAGTGTAAATAAGATTGCAACAGGAATGGTTAGTGTCTTAAGGACACAAACTGTTCTCAGGCATTCATAAGCACTTCAGAAGTGTTTTATCTGAAAATGCAAGTACATTTATATGCAAATAGTTGTTGCATCTACAACACTTCATTCTTAATAAGTAAAGCAGGTTCCTAAAGAAACTCCATATGCAATACTTTTTGGCCTAATTCTAGTAAATGTATGTACTTGAGAGTAATACAACTGTATTTCTTTGAAATATTCTGTGACAGACTTTTTAACAATTCAGATGGACCTCTTCTATTAGGTACCATCAGTGAAATTGTGCTATATAGGACCCTTCTACCTGAATTATTTTCTATACAGTGATAGCATCTTTTGTGCAATATTTTCCCCAAATCTCTCATAATCCAACCTAGAGCTCTTCTCATTATCTATGTCATGATTGTGTGTGTATGTGACAAGAGGAAGATAAGGATGGATGAAAGGAAGGGAGAAGTGTTGATTGAATTTGATGCTTCTGTTAGGGGACAAAAATGCATGATGTAATTTATTTTCCCTCCCAGTATATTTCTTACTCAAATGAGAAAATTAAAAAGTTATTGTGTGTACACAATATATTAAAATGAATTATACATGAATGTATAATTATACATGAGTGTATAATTCATTTTATATACACATTCACGGTTTCCTTATAATAAATCTTTGAGTATAGTTTTTTTTTTATCAATAGCGGCATATAATATGTGATAATTTGACACTGTTCGAAATTATATTTAGCCTAAATGACCAGTATTAGAAAGCCTAACTCCCCCACCCCTAGTTTCTGGTTGGCTAGCCCCTTGTTCAGAGTATCTTTCTATAGCATTTACCTAGAATCACCCTAATTTCTTCTGAAATCATTTCTATTTTTAAATCACTGGGAATTTTAAATTTTCCAATGACAACAGAAGCATTCTCTAAATTTCTTTTCCAATGGTTTGAACCCAGATTGCTCAGACAATTTGTTCTGAGAACTCAATGCGTTAATTTAAATACAAGCCTTAATGCACAAAAATTAAATCTACAATATCTAGTTATTTTGGATGCTTCAAATAAACTTTATTTTGTATCTTGTATATTGAACACTAACTGAGGTTTAGGAGGGAAAGAACTGCTGAAGGGGAAGAACTGCTGAATTGGAGAGCCAGTGAATTACATGCTCTCTTGAAACTTAATGGCAAGCTTTCATCCCAGAAACATAGGGGGACTCTTGAGGCCTGCAGTTACATTCCTGCCGCTCGGGGTAATCAATAAAATCTGGGGCAGGCAAGCCAGACAGGATCATTAGAGATTTGTTCCAGATTGTGAATGTTGGACAAACTGGAAGAATGAAGGTCACATCAAAAGTATGAAGATGGAGAGAGTTAGCTGGGTCATAGAAAGACAGCATGTTGTTGTCATAATCCAGGAGGACACCCAGACGCTTCAACTGTGGGGGTACATCCACCAGCATTTCCTTGTTGTTATGTCTCACCACGAAGTTACTATTGCAGCGTGAGAAGACCCATGAGGAGGCATTTTTACCAATCCACTCATTCTTTGGAGCTGATTTGTAGGCAATACCAATTGCATACCTGTGAGATAGCAAAAAGGAGAGAGAAATAAAATTCATGCATGATCTGAGTTGTGCTAGATACCATGTAATAAATAGAAGAACTCGACACGTTTCTTCCCTAAGTAGTTTACATTGTGGTGCTTAACGTTAATATCACTAGAGCTTTACAAAGTTAGCAATTAGGCTCAGCTGTTGTGATGCAAAGATAATGCAGTGCCCCAAAGGCTGGAAGTTGTATGGTTTGGGTCCCCAGATAAGCCTGAAAACATGATGTACACCCAAGATTCTGAGGAGCTAAAAGATTGGAGAAAGGGATGATGAGACTCTGTCAGGGGTGCTTCTCTCTGTCTCTTCTCTCTCTCTCTCTCATGCGTGCAATGCATTCTACCATAAAAGGAGAAAAGGTAGCAATTAAGATAATTTCCAATTCCTGGCCCAGAATATTTTCCACAGTTTTATTTAAAAAGTTGGCAAATTTTTCCAGGAGTGGTTTTCATCACATACTTTTTTTTTTAATATTCGAACTTATTTTTGTTTTACTTAAAATTTTTCACTTGCCTTGCATTATGAATTATGCCTCATTTAAAAAGGGAAAAGGATTTTAAAGCATATTCAATATGATTTTATTGTAAGATTCACAATGAACTTAAGCTTTATATTAATAGGACTTAAGCCTCTGAACCAAGTTACTTGTCATTTTTGAGGTTCACTTACACTGTTCTTAAAACTTTAAAAACAAAAACAAACAAAATATAAAGAATGCCTGTAGTCTCAGCTCCTAAGGAGGCTGAGACGGGAGAAGAATGATACAGCAAGACTACTGAAAATGCCACACACAACACAAATCCACCCCCAATACACACACCACACTACCCCTAAAAGAGAGTGTTTTTGTCCTTAATTTCTTCTGTCAAGCACTTATGACTTAAATAAGAAAATAATCACTAATTTATATACCTACTGTGTAATAATGTATTAGACTTTTTTTAAATTGCCATTTTCTTTTGATGTCACTATTTTTTTTTTGAGAGGTTTTCGTTATAGGGCGTGTGCACTCGCCAGACAGACAGAGAGAGACAGAGAGACAGAAAGTGAGAAATCACCCCCCAGGGGGGATGACCATGCCACAATCCCTTCTCCTCCATTCTCCTCTCGGGATCTTGGGCACGCACGCACATGTGCCCGGCGTGAGTTCTAAGCCAACAGGTCCGGGACGTGAACCACGGTCGACTACGTGGGAGTCCAGCGACACAGCTATTACACTAACTGCTGGTTCCCAATGTCACTATTTTTTATTTGTGACATTTGAATAGGAATGTAGGAATATATCATCATCGGTCACATATCTTTGAACCTTAACGTACTTGTATTATAGTTGTACTGTAGAACTGAATAGCACAGTTATAGAACTTAATCTCTCAGGAAAGTAATAACAGAGGAGAAAAGAGACATGGAATCCACTCACCATGTCGAGGAACCCATGACAACCTCCCAGTAGTGGCAGCCACTGTCAATGAATATATTTCCTGCAGCCCCGCAGCACCCTGTACCACTAAACC